GCTTAGAGGGGTCGACTACTCTGGGCTGTGGGGTGGGTATTTAGGGTATTCCGGCCTAGCAACAGGCAACAAATGATGAACACGTGTGCTGCTGGCTCTGGCGAGGAAGATATAGTACAAGATATAGGGGGCAACCACCCCGAACGGAATCGGGGAATCGGGGATCTCGGGCACCCTCCGGTTTCACACACTTTTTACTTTTACGAGCTATTGATGGCAGTGGCAATGGGCTTATGAATATGAATAGATCGCCCTACTTCCTACCTGAGTCGTCCCAAAGGTAATGGCAACTTAATAAGACTTCTTTTCGCCGAGGATCCGATCCGTTCGGGTTCGGTTTTGGTTTCTGGAACGGGGTTAACGCGACAAAAGCGCATTCGTACCATAGAAAATTTAATTAGTTGTCTGTTGGCTGCCTGCCCTCGGGGCATGTTTATTGTTGCGAAAATGGGAAAAATATGAGCCAGGAGGCAGGACCTCGGTGGTTGGTGCTGGATCAAAAGGATACATCTGCATATTGTCTGGCAGGGAAAACACGATCGAACACGATGCGAAAACAAACTTCAAGTAGCGCCGACCATCTGTAATTTATGCCCCATCTGCATTGTCCTCCTGGCAGCTTACAGGATTTTCACAGGGGTTTCTTTATTTCTGGCCAAACAATCTGAGCTCGATCATTAACAAGGTTTCCCTGGGTCCTTGTTTTCCTTTTACACCCTTTTTAATTGCTCCTATTCAGTTGGGATTACTCATTATTAAACTTGGGTCTTTCATTACTTTTAATTTTGATTGCAGGCGATAAAAGCTGTAATTGTATGGCCTTGCAGCCAAATATTTTGAAAAGTATTTAGTAAACATATTTCCTTTTTGGACATAATAAGATTTGAGAAAATCCACTTCTTTCCCAAGCCCTGCCCAACACATATTTCCACTTCACTTATAAACAACGCAATTTCGAAAAGAAAACTATCTCAAGGCAATTTCCTCCAAGTTTCCGGAACCATTCAAATCAGGATCTCGCTGAGCGCGTTTCCTTTGCGGGCCTGGTGATATAATCTCCGTGGGAAATTCGTGGAGGAAAACGAATCACACGAAAACGTGGCCAGCGAAGGCCAGCCCAAAACCGAACCCAAATCCAAGCCCAACCCACATCACCTGGCCAAGAAAGAGTACAATGGAAAGTGCATTAACAGAGCCTCCGGTGATTTTTTATATTTTTTCTGTTTCTCTATTGCGGCAATTGCGGCTCTTTTCTCTTGGCCCCCAGATGTATCTGTATCTGTGGCTGCAGCAGTATCTGTAGCTGTGTGGAGTGCAGAGCGAAGCTTTATGGCCAAAACCCCGACCCCCGCCCGCAAACTTTCCCGGTTAGTGCCACCAGTGCCACCGGCCACATTCCGATGCGTATCCGGGATTGTGAAATGTTTTCATTTCAAGAAACGGAGACACATTTACCGCCGTCTAGCGTCTGCAAGCTGTCTGTATCTGTATCTGAGCATGCACTGTATCTGTATCTGTTTCAGTGCACTCACAAAAAGTACCCTATATAAGGGAAAAAACTTTAGAACACCCCTCTAGTAATTGTCAAAAAAGAATCTGTTTAACAACCTGAAGATATGTTTTTGAAAATATTAAAGTTCAAACCCAACTGGGAGTACTTTTACGAAGCAAATATGGAAAACAAAATCAGTTTACTAAGTTCTGAAATAAAATGATTTCAACCTTTTACAATTTATGCCAATTTTAACACTTATACATACAAATTTCTAGCTCTTATAAAGAATTCACCGAGCCAAAGTTGCTTAAATTTCTTCATTTAATTACAAACTTTTTCTAAGTGTATTCGCGAATGTGCTTTCGGCTGTTTTTCTTTCTCTTGGCCACTCTCCTTCGGATACGTGCCGCATTTTAAACAATATCGGCACAGTTCAAGCCAAGGAATCGGAATGCGATGAGCTAAGCCCGGTAGAAGTTTCTCCTGGCCAACTATTTTTGTATCTTGGCCATTTACAACACTTGGATCGATTCTATTTATAAGCATTTTATTGCAGAGAATCAGCATTCCTTCGAGCCGAGCTGAATTTATTAGAGGTATTAAGATCGTTAACAGGCATTTTGATGGATAAGCCATAATATATATTTTTCGGCTTGGCCTCATACAATATACACACTGAAAGGCATTTGAAATGTTCTTAAACAATTTTTATTACTTATGAATTCCATGAATTATATAAAATACTTGTTCTGGAAGCTAAAAGCTAATAATGTATCAATTAAGATATATTTTATAAATTAATTACATACTTAATAAATTATTCAAACTAGAACTCCATGGAAAAAATATCATCCAGACTTGTAGATCGATTTGAAAGATTTCGATGCTTTGGTAGACATAGACAAGCCGACGAAAGCAAAATAGTTCCGTCTCGTTTTCGTATAATTTTCAGCTTTGATCTTCGATCTTAATGGAGTATAACAAAATAACTGCCCACTAAATTACCATGCAAAGTGGCACATCTTGGGCCAATAAAACGTTTAAATTTAGTTACACAATGCATTCCAGGGCGGATTACAAATGTTCTCCATGCGGGGTGTCGTCGCTCCAGTTTGCAGTGCACATATCCACAGAATTCTGGGAAATCGGAACTGGGAACTGTGAACTGGGAAGTGGGGAAGAAACAGCTGCAGCTGCCACGGGGCATTTAGAAAGTCACCCCAAATTCGAGTGCCCATGCCCATTGCCACTCCGATTCCGATTCCTATTCCTATTCCAATACCTATTCCTATTCCAATACCTATTCCGATTCCAAATCCAAATCATCGCATATTCTCGCATGTGTGGCAATGTGTTTATGTGTGTGCATGCTGATTAGCACCTTGGCATGTGCTATATGCTATATGCCATGGGCTATGTGCCGGGGGCTATATACTAAGTTACTTATGTAAGCCAACGCGTGTTTGTGCTGGAAAATAATCAATTGGTAAATATGTTTATCACGACTTTTTCGGCCGCATAGCTTTCCACCTCTTTCCACTGTGCTCCACTTTGGCGATCGTTTCATGAATGAAAAAATCAACGGCGGGCTGGGAGTTTTTGGGTTTTCGACGGGGAGTTCATTGCCCAGGTAGATCGCTCCCCGGCGGGCCTACTTACTACAGCTACATGTATCGCTTATCGCCTCCGCAGCCTTATCAGCGCTTCGTTTACGACTGAAAAGGGCTTTTGTAATGGGCAAACAAAGCATAAAATACCAACATCAAGTTGTTTAGATTCGGTCGTCGCTGGCATGCTTGGAATGCTGTTTACCCAAGCGGGCCTCGAGCCCCAGCTCCAACTCCTCGCCCTCCATTGACTCCGGTTCCAATGCGAGCCGACTTCGACTTCGACTCGGCTCCACGTCCAACTTCCAACTCACCTTGGGATGACAGTCGAAAAAGAGAAATAGAGACAATATAGCAAAAGCACTGGCGCAGGCGCAGCTCCTACACTGGCCGAAATCCAGGCAATTGCTTGAATGCATCTCTAAAAGTTTCAATTTTTAAGGATATAAGGTGATAAGAAAATAACTTATTAGGTTTTAAACAAGATTTTAAAATAACCCTAAATGAGACTAATGGGTTTAATTTGTTTTCCATCTGCTTATATCATAAATTCTAACACATTTGTATCCAAGTAAAAGAATGTCTGTTTTTTTTAAATAATTTATTCACAAACTTTGTATCTCCTAGAATAATACAAATCTTTTTAAAATACATACATTTTATAATGGTCTTTTACATCACGAAGTGGTTTCTTATTATTTTAAGACAGATCCAGTTAGTAATCACTCTGTGACTATTTCCATTTTCGAATTGTAATTCTTAAGATTAGATATTGTAATTATTTGATCAGCCAACGCAGATTGTTGTTCTTTATTTGTTACACTTTAGATATGGTTTTTTCTTCCAGTGAAGACCCTCTTCCCAGAGCATCGTACTCACCTTCGACTTCCCAGCTCCATCTCCTCTGCATCTCTCCCCAAAACTCGGATCGGTCGGCATTAGATCAAAGCTTTGTTACACGATATCGCTATATCGCTGTGTAGGCACACCAAACAACAAAATCGACCATCGGAATGTGGAATGTGGTATTCATTGACAAAATCAGCTTTCAAAATGATCTCACTTGTATGAAAAACAGTCAAACCAAATCGAAAACCGGTTTCGTAGTCAAATCATTGAAGTTACAAACGTTTTTCGTTCGTTTTCCGTTTTTCCTCTTTTGATCTTTTGGTCGTGGCTCTTATAAACACCAACCTCTGTATCTGTATCTGTATCTGATTCAGTGCGTTTTCCACGCACGTGCCTGGCTCACATTTAATAACTATAATTAAAATGTATGTCAAGTCGACCGAAATTATATGCTGCCAGTTAACACTTTAAACGAGGGACGCGACGAGACGAGAAAGAAGCGGAGAAACAACGAACTCGGAAGATCTACAAGCGAGAATAAAAATACCTTGGGTAGCCTAAATATTTTCACACGCGCCGCGAGAGAAAAAATGATCTTAGGGTTTAGTCTTTCTTTTCGTGTTTAATAAAAATAGCACACAATTAGTGGCGCTGAGTTTTTGCTTTTCAGCGGGGTGGGGGGTTCGAACAGTAAAACGCTTTAGAGTTATCAAATTGGGGATTACATACCTTTATAAATAGTTTCTGCGCAGGCGCGCCCGTATTTCTTCCCATGTGTTCGTGTGTGCGAGTGTTTGTCTGTGTGTGTGGAATGCCTAACAACAAATACAAAATACACAATCTCCATTTAACAATCATTAATTTAGACGTCGTTCCAGCGGGAAAGAGAGGGCAGCGTGCGAAGGGAACGGTGGCGCTGCTCCCGCGATGATCACACGCTGCTGGGAATGGGGCCTGGAATCGGAATCGGAGTCTGGAATGGGGAATGAATATGGGAATGGGCATGGAAGCTGTGTGGGAAAGTATGCTCCGCCGCCGCCGCCGCTTTTGCCTCTGCCGCCGTCGACGTCGCTGAAATAAACAAGACCAAAAACAACAACAACGGGCCCCGAAAATTAGGTCAACATTTTTTCATTCACTCTTTTTTGTTGCTGCCATATTTCGACATACATATTTTGTGTGTTTAAGTTTTTAGGTATTTTTTTATTAACACAAACTTTCTATTGAGCGGGGAATAGTTTTTGTTTTTTCCCCTCTTCGTTTTTTCCACTCTTTGCAGCCACACACGAACTTCAGCAGACCGTAGCATTAACCGTTAGCTTTTTATAGCACATTTTATGGCAATCCGACGGGCGGAACTTGACAATACAAATATCATTTTTAATTGACATTTATGATGTGTATAAAAACACTCAGTTCGCTGCCCCGTGTAACTCCTTCGTTTTTGGAATGCAAATTGATGGGCCCTGGATGCATACCGATGTCCCATCGATAGCTTATCGATATTCCAGTTAAAGGGTTCTTTTTTGCTGACTACGGTTTCCACGATGAACTGCAAAATGAACGGGATAACTGAGAGCGCAAAGAGAATATCGCACTGGAGAAAAATATTAGTGTAAATCAATAGATTATTAAATACTTACCTTTAACAAGTATTTCAAAATGTCTTGTTATTAAAAAAATATTTTAGTTTTCATTCGCCTAACAAGACCTCGAAATTAGGGATTACCCATCTTTACAGATACTCAATTTCTTAAGTAAAATGAATCTTATAATAGTATCACTCTCCTGTGTTGTCCGTTTCTAGGCTTGTCACCTTTAAGATACGACTTGATTTTTTATAAAATAAAACAACGATCTATTTGATTATCTTTTAAGAACACTCTGTAAACACTCCTAGTTAGTATCTCACACTCGTGCGATCACCTAGTAGACACCCTTTTCAAGGATATTTTTACAAGAACATACTTCAATACTTTTTCCTCCATTCATTTCTCCGAGTGTTGTGCTGCTCCCTTTTCCCTTTGCTCGTGTGCGCCATCCCGCTCGCGCTCGCCCCTCTCGCTCTGTAGCTCTTTAAAACGGTTCTTCTGCTGTCGCTCCTTCTCTTTCCGCCACTAGTGCCGTCTTGCCTGTCTGGCAGCCGCATTCTATGCTGGTGGTTGACTTGTTGTTTGTGCTGAGTGATGCAACTTTTATGGCTGTTCCCGTTTCTGTTTCTGTTCCCATTCCCGTTCTGGCCGCTCACCGCTGTTCCTGTTAGGAAAAAACGTAAGCCACCGTGTCAGTAAAAAGGGGAGATGCAAGATCTGGCTCGAAACGAAACGGAATCGAAATGGACAAAACGAATCTGAATACTAGATTTTGCTGGTATATTTCAGAGTCAACAATACTTTCTAAGCAGTAATCGAGTAAACAGTAATACCAGCGAAGGTTAGGATCGCCGAGGAAAAAACTGGTCTCGAAAACCCACGCTCAATCGCATGGCATGACTCACGCTTGAAAAATTTCAATTTGAATTTGAATTTCTAAATAACACACACACAGCATCCAATTTCAGCTAATAAACGAGGGGTTGTGTGTGTGTGCTTGTGTGTGAATTCCGACTTACGAGTGTTCCCAGCGAAGGTTAGGTTTTTTTCGTTTTGGGATGTCAATCGGCCGACGTCAAACAGTCTAAAACCAGAAACCAGTTTGAAGATCGTTCTTCTTCTTCTGCATTCCACACACATACACACATGGCACACTGAGTTCGAGTTTAGTTTTCCACTTTCCCCCCGCCTTCCAGTGTTATTTGAACTTTCTGGAATGCGGCTGTGGCTGCTCTCCTTGGAACCTCGCTGGAACTGGAACTGCTCTTTTACAGCTCCGTTTTTGGTTGCTCAAGTTGAGTTAAAGTTAAAGGTGGTTTTTCGTTTTTTAATCGCCAGTTAAATATTGACTGTGCTGTGTTCACACTTTGGCATTTATTTTCTCGTCTCGGTTTTACTGCGCGAAGAGGAAGAGCAGCCGAGAGCTGCACGACCATGCACGACTACGAAAATTTTCTGAATGAATTTTCTTTTCCTTTGCGCGATCTTTCGTCGATCTTTCGTGTTGTGGAATTCGAAGTCGCTGGGGGCAGAGCAGCGGCAACGGCAGCGGCAGAGGCGCCGACTGCGGCAGCGGCGTCGGCAGCGACTTAACATTTTGAAGCCAACCAATTAACAGAGCCCAATTGGAGTATGCTCAACTTTTGCGCCTTGGCGTGGAATTCGGAGTCATTGGCAGAGGGAGGGCAGAGCAGCGGCAGAGGCAGCGACTTAACATACACCGTTGTCTGAGAAACGTTGAGAAGTTCAAAGAGAGGCAAAGAGAAACGTTCCTACGAAAGAGCAGCGGCAGCGCTCTCTTTCTCCACTGAGTTATCCAAAAAGTGGAGAACTGCTAAGCTGCTGCGTCGACGTCGGCAGCGACTGCGGCAGCGACTTCGAAAAAAGTCATACCTTTCGAAAGTCGTTTTCGCGCGTGTGTGTGTGTATCTGCTGGATCCGCGGCGTGCCCGTGTGTCGGTGTGCTAGAAAGTTTCGATACCGAACTATGTTTGAAGTCGCACAAGAAACTTACAAAACGGCATTCCACAAACAAACTGAAACTGCCCCTTCCAGTCCTCGTCTGCGTCCTCGCCTTCCAAGCCGGCGAGAAAAGTATCTGTATCTGTATCTGTATCTGTGCTACTTTTGCATTTTGTCACAACATCGGTGTCAGCGCATAGCGCCCTCTCTTTCTCGCCCCCGAAAATTCTTCGGCCTCTTCTTCTTGCCTCTTTCCTATATGTTGTAATCTACGGAACAATAAAAAATGTTGTGTGGCTTTCGTAAGTGTCTTTTGGAATTTTTTTGTTTTTTGTGTGTTTGTAGCTAGTGGCGTTCTGTTTTTTTTGTTTTTCGTAAACAACTCACACACACACTGTGGAAAATTCGTCATTGAACGGTAAAAAAACAAAAATTCCAACGTGTTTGACTTTGTCTCTAGACAATCTCGCTCGTGTGTGTGGATTTTTTCAATTACAAGTTTGTAAATGGAATTTCTGAACTTTATGTGAACGAGGTCATTTACAACACACACACACACACAACTAAGTTTTGGGAAGGGCGCGGGGCTAAGGTTGCCCAGGGAATTTTTGTTATATTCGTCATGAACTTATTTATAGGAAATTCCATAGGCTTTACTTGTTATTTATGGCTGCAGATCGCTGGGGGGATATTTATATTGGGTCCAAAGAGCGGGGGAGTATCGTATCGGTCGGCTGACATGCATATCAAATGCCAAATGGGACAATCCCCAACTGACAGGGAAAAATCACGAAGACGCAACTAAAGCAGCCTGAAGTGATCGGGGGATCGGGAAGGTATTTCTGAGATAAAGTAAACTAGATAAGCCCAAAAGTTGATTTCGCACTAAAAATGTAATTCTGTAATGTAAACCCCACCGCAAGTTCCCATTTTAAGGGTAAGGGTCCTTCTATTAATACCACAAATGATTCAGATTCCTCGAGCCTAAGCCTTTCCACCTTTCGTTTGATCAGCAATTCCTTGAATTCCGCGGGCGCCAGGTGTATCTGTAATCGCCCACAATCTACCCAATCAATCCACCCGACTGTCCCCTATCAATGCAATCCATTGACGAGCTTTCGTAGCTCCCCCACTCCGGTAAAGTAACTCAGTTGCCGGACGATCGTCTGAGTGATAAGGTTTTCGGGGCGGCTACTTGACGCAAGAATTTCTGGAATTTCGAAAGCGTACACCGCACACACCTGTGGAGTCAACCTCTCGGAAGAAGCGGACGAAATGCCCATACCAGGCCAGGGCAGACCGAACGCAAAGCACGCGCTCGATCTACGGCTTATCAAAAGGCCCACGATAGGCCCATTTAAAGGCCAAACTATAAATGACATGTGATGCCATAGCCGTAGCCATAGCCACAAAATACCAAGGGTACGTAAATGTTTAAGTTTGAGTCACATGCCTAACACTTACCGGCCAAAAGGGGGAAAGAGACGGCCTCTGGCGGAAGTGGTAGCTTCTGTTGCTCTCTTCTGAAAAGAAAATGTAAAAACAAAAAGAAAATCAAGAACGGGCTACGGAGATTTCCCAATCAAAAGCCTTTTGGACTTTCGACTGCCTGTACTATTTACAACATCGACCACAGAGCAACGTCAAGACCATAAAAATAATTAATACACCTTATCAGCTGGCCGCGAGGAGGAGTGGGGGCTACCACTTGAAGACCCGAAGACCCGGAGCCACCTATGACGTGGAGGCATTGGCATTACTGTTTTTATTTATTTTCACCCAATGAGCGGTATGCGCTGCATGGTCAGCGATCGTACGGTAGATCCGATCCGATTCGATGGCAAAGAATTCCCCCTTTCGGCGTAATTACTTTTGGTTTGGTCGAAAGTCGAACCGAACCTAATGATAATACCCGCGATCTAATAGGGAGCACGTGATGCGCATACAGCCCACCGATCATTAAGAAGTAGCGCTGCACTGGAAAAATACCCGGCTCTGAATCATGTGCGTTTGGGTGTGGTTACTACAGGTCAACCTTCTCTTCGAAGAACTATTTTTTTGGTACTTCCCCATTGATTCTCGCACTGAATTATAATTCCCAAGTCATTTTTCGGCTGTCAAAAAAGTTAGATATATTATTTAGCAGCATTGATAGCCTCTTTTTTTTGAGTGCACTAGTAGGCGGAATGAAGTGGAATCGGAATCGAGCTGTAGACCAGAGACTAGAGACCAGACCCCTGGCTAGACAAATTGCACATAATTTCTACTCGAGTGAGCGCGGTCAGCCGGCAAAAAGTGCACCGAACCTGCCCAAAACAACGGCAAACGGGATGGATGTGGATGTGGATATAGCCGGGGGCTATGTGGCTATATAGTGCTAGTACCACTCGGACTCGGGTTGGTTAGACGTCGAAAAAAGACGTCGACGACGACGCCGCACCGGGAGGATCCCAGCCATTTCATGAAAAATTATGTCGTGTACAATTTTATGCATGAGAGACTTGCACAGCAGCAAAAACTGGGCAGCGAAAAAACTTGGCAAAATTAACAGTGGCTCGTCAGTTGCATTTGCAGTTGCAGTTGCATTTGCACGGCGGAGCAGTCGGTGGTGCAGTGGCCGCCAGGTTGGAGATAAGCCGCTGACGCTGACGCCGCTGCAAATGGGCACACGCACACTCGAGGGCCATCAACTGCAACTGCAATTGCAATTGCACAGAGGAGGCACAGTGGGTGGGGTCGGGTCAAGACTGGGGTCTAAGATTTGTTTGGTTAAATTTATGAAAAGCATATAGGACAATTTTTTGAATTTAATATAAAGACAATTTTTTAATTGCCATTTTAATTTAATATTAACATTTTAAGCAAACTATTGTTACGTTTTTGTAACTTTTCATACGTGAATAAAGTTATTTTTTTAAAGAACTTTAGTTGAACCCTCCCAAATGTTTAAACCACTACCAATCGCTTTCGCCCCACTGTGCTGGGGAAAACGAAGGCTGTCCATGTTGCATTAGCATACAAGTGTTGGGCAGCGCCACAAAGTCGCACAATTGGAAGGCAAAAAAGAAGAGAAAAACAGCGGCGGCAGTGACAACAATTGGCTAACGAACCGCCCGACGGACGCCGCCCCACCCACCAGTCCCCATTTCGCCTCCCATTTCCAATTCCCTCATGAATGAACCCGATGATAGTGATGAGGGGCAAGGGGATGGAATTTGAATTGGAAGAAAGGGGGAGGCGCAGGAACCGGGGCAGGAGTGGATATGGAAATGGCAGTGGAAGTGGAAGAAAGCGCAGTCGAGCATCTTGCCGCTTGCATCTTGCATCCACATCCACATCCACGCCACCCCGACCCAAATTCCAGTTGGATGCACTGGCCACCGCCTGCCTTTCTGCAGCCACAGTTTCAGTTGCATCGGTATCTGTATCTGTATCAGAGTATCTTTATCTATGTCTGTCTGTGCCTACAACCCATCGCCGACAGCTTCAAAAGCACCGGACTTCTGCTCTTACACGGCGAGAAATAAGTGATATAATAATTGGTCTGATATTGTGTATTATAATATTAAAATCTGCAATTAACCTGCTTGTGATCTATTAAGGCTTTAGGTTATTTTACTTGAATAAATATCTATCTTTTAATAATAATAATAATAAATAGATTATCATTTAAGCCTTTTCCCTATGGGCCCAGATATATACGGATTTCAAACTATAAGTTTATAATAAAGGTGAGCTATAAAGCTTAAAGATGGATCTCTCCAGGGATCCAGGTGTCAGTTGATATTAGAATATTAGGAATTTCTACACTTAGGATCTACTAAAATCCAGGTGAACTCTCTAGAAACGAAAGGGGTGTCCTCTTTCTTTCAAGCGCGAACGGCGAATACCCTATTTGATGGCATTCCACATAAGGCGGATGCAGACGGACCAAGAGCTCTCTCTTCTCTGGTTGGCATAATAATAGCACATTCCTCGGCTAACAAACTGGCTGCAATCGGATGTGGATGTGGCTGCGGCTGTGGCTGTAAATGTGGATGTGGATGTGGACGTGGATGTGCATGTGGCCAAGTAGGAGTCGCAGTCGTCGTTGGAGTTTGGAATCTGCTCCAAATGTGGGCGTCGCCTGGGGCAATGCGTACTCCGAGGTGCCCCTTCCCGCCCCTATTCGCGTGGCCCCCGCTGTCAACGCATGATTTGCTTCCCGCTTGCATGTCCGGATCTGATGTATTAATGACATTTGGCCCAGTTTCGGTGTCTCCATGCCCCATGTAAAACGCAGCGTGGGGGGACTGGGGATCGTTTGGGGGACTGCCACTGCGACTGCGAGTGCGAGTGGAGGAGGCTCATTCATATTCATAAATTTAACGTCTTTTTGCGTAAGCCTCGCGGCGGAAGTAGTGCCCCTCCCACAATCGCCACTCTTTCTGAGACCCATTCATTCGCCCTTTTTCGCCAAAGCTAAAGCCAAAGCAAGGCAAA